TGTGGTGCATTGTGCTCGTCACGTTAGCTTACCGCCGACTGCGCGCTTGGACACCTGCAATCAGAGACTACTTGAAGCCGGCTCATCCCGTCTCTATAGCTAGCCGTTATAAAGTAAATTAGGTATTCACACTGGTATGAGCTTGAGCTTGAGCTCCCCGGTTTAGATGCGCATGATGTTAATGTTGACAAGGTGACTACCTGTCTACTACCCGCTACCCCTTCCATACTGGCAGCAGGAGACAGTTGGTCGTTGCTGGTGGGGACGGGTTGCAGATGGCTTGTGACGGTTCTAGGCTTAAAGGGTGGTTCCATCCTGTGTGGAACGGGCTGCAGTCCAGCCACTGCCTCGTGTACGTCTGGTGTATTTGATTTCCCACTTAGACCGAAATGCTTCCGTTCTGCTGGTCGAATGAGTATGGGCCTGGTCCATGGATGAGACGTGGCTCCCATTCACATGCCTCCCAGTCTTATTCCTTCGGGTTTACACCGGATATGGGGTATGTGGATGAAGCTGTGGGTGGTGCAGCGCAAGGCATCCATGGTCCACTTTTTAGGCGCAGGCGTCCTGTGGCTGTCCCCATGGACGTCAGAGTGACAGGGAAATCCGGATACGGACGCCGTCAAATCATGTGTTAAGGCATACTGAGGGGAATGGACATTCCTAGACCAGATCAAACGGTGTGTTGCGCGTCACAGAATAACTGAGAAATGAGGTTAGCTCAGTGGGTTTCATCCCACCATCCACTTGAAGGTGGAGATTTATCGCTTGTGTGTTCACGTAACGGAAAAGGTGAAGTAATCATTTTAGTTGGCTTCTCCTTTCAAACGGCACGTGAGGGTGTGCATGGTCAGGTTGGCATGGCCGGGCAAATGGTCCAAGGTTTTGTAAAGTTTTTTGAGAAATTGGGTGTATATGGTTTGCTTTTATATTTGGCTAGCTTTCTTGAGTCGATAAAATAGCAATTAAAGTATGAGGAATAGGTACAGCGATTCGGTTGGTTTCGTCTTTCAGAACGCAATTTAATTGCGAACTGTCAGATTGACATGGCAGAGCAGAATATGGAATGCGTACGGAATACATAAGATGCAAGGGACACGCAGTCATTTTTTGCGCCTGTAGGTGAAACTTAGGTTGGTACTTCTAAGTAGAACAGAAAGTATACTGAGTTGAGTCGAAGTTTCATATTCTGTTCCATATTGTTTGGGCGATGCAATTATCATATCTGTAGATACTTGAAAACCGAATGTCTTTTCTCCGTTGTTATTCTACATAGTGAGAAAAGCCTTCAAATTCGTTTAGCTATTGTTAACTCTCACCAAACCGCACCTATAATGGCAGTTTTTGCTGCAAATGAGTGTACCTCACCAGGAAAAAGTTGGAGCGGATTTTTAGCTTGCATTTTGTAATGGGCAGAGAGTGACATTTATCTCGTTTAGAAAAGGTCGACGAGTTTTACAGGATGATGTCTGTTCCAGTCTGCATATAGAGGAGAGTATAATGTTTTAACCAATAACGAGATTATTTCCCCGTCGTTGCAGCAGAGGTATAATTGAAATCGGCAGCGGCAGGCCTCATGATTCCTAGCGATAGGTCATCCAGTGAGGACTTTCTGAGTGACTCCTGGATATTTTCTAGAGCCCTTCGGTCTGTCTTACTCAGCTGACTGTGGAGGAGGATTGTACAGTACTCTAGCTTTGGTCTCATAGTGAGTTTAATCAGTTCTAGTCGTGCTCCGGGTAGAACAAAGTATTTAGGTATTTAGCTTTTATTTGCATTGTCTTAACTATCTGGTTTTAGACATGCTCGGAAACGTTGAGGGAGGCGGAGTATACTACCCAAGGTCACACTCAAAGGCAGCTTGCAATATTTGTACCAGTGAGAGTGATAGATCCATCAGGAATGAAGCACCCCCGTCCAAGCGCTTTGGATTTCTCAGCTGAAAATTGCATGGACCAAGTTTTAATTCACTAATTCAGCACGGGTTGATAATCATGTCTATTTCTGATGACAGTTAAATACTGTTTGGTAGAAGTGAAAAAAAACAAGTTTAGTCTCATCGCAAATTGGCAGGCTCATCCGTGTATTACTGAATCATACATATCATTTTTATGGATTAAGATGAGTAGTCGCACAAGCACACTATCTTGGAGGATTCCACATGTAAGTTCTTCGAAGAGGAGAGGTACTAACCGATTTTAACTCCTTGGGTACGCTCTTCCATATAGAATTTTAACAAGCTTAGCAAGTGTTAGCTGATTCTTTAAGAGTACAGAACGCATAGCAGTGGCTTGTGTGACGGACGAGCGAAGGTCTTTTGCATGCCACTGCCAGCAACTGACGTTTCGTGGTCAAAGAATACTACATGCCATGTTACGCTGCATCGCTTCGTAAGAAATGCTTGTTGCGTGCGTTTTCCCATGTCCAATCATATAAGAAATTGAACAAAATGAAGCTTAACTATTCGCTCCCGATTCTTAGAAGCAACAGCATTATGATTAATAAGGCGAAACTTCGGGCATTAGAGTTTGTGGGCCACCTTTGTGCTGCGGTGCTAGTAGCGAATTTTTCCAATCTGGAGGGAGACATTCACTATGGAGGGGTAGTGTAAAGAGATATAACATCAGTGCAAGCATGCATTTATCCCCAAAAATGATAACGCTAGTGGTCATGGATACGATTCCTGATGGATCCGTTGGGAGAAAACGGTCATGTTTTGCCTTTCCTGATTAGTGCTTTCTGAGCTACTCCCGTGTGTTCAGTTACATCTAAAAAATTATTGTGTTCTGAGTAGGCAGATGTTCGAGAATGGCAGAATGATCAGCCAAGTCCGGCGCTTCCTGTCATTGTTTACACGATGGTAGATAGACAAAAAATTTGTGGTGATACGAACGAAGATGTGTTGTGATTCCAAGGTGTCTTCCTTTCCATCAATTCTTGAAAATGCCTCTTCTCACATATTGCAATCTTCAATATCGTTTGTTTGGTTGTCGAATAAGGTTGGCATTTATAGCCATTCTTGTCACCTGGTTTGTATCCGAAGCATGCCACTTGTTGAGCTGAACTCATACTATTACCCGTAAACATTTCACACGTTCCGGGCAATAAGGAAGACGAGATTTCAGTGTAAAAATTAGCTTTCTCTTTCACCTCCTTCGGAAAGCGATGACGCAACGGTTTGGCGCATTCACTTGAGTCGAAAGCCGCGTCAAAGTGAAGTAAAACAATTATAACAGATCAATTATGTGTGCTGCTTTGCTTTAGACATCCATGCAGTGTTTTTATTTGTTTAGCGTTTTCTTTTCCTGGGTGGAGCTGGTTTGGTTTTCACCAACTCTACTTTTCTGGGACCACCGAGTTGCTTAAGTATACCGTCATGGAAAGTTTGGCCACAGCATCCCTGGTACTAACACGACATTCTTTGCTTTCTGGAACACTAAGGACACACTGCTTGATAAACACCATCCTTAGGGTAGTTTTGAACCAAATTGATAGCTCAGCAACCAGCGTGTCACCACAATCTATCACAAACAGTGGAAGAATGTTATCGGGCTGGTCAATTTTTCCTACTGTATCAATTTTCTTTTGCGCCAGATTTCTTCAACAGAAGTGCAAGATAGAGGTTAAGATTACGGTTAAGTTCAGATGCGTCTGGTGACAATGTAACACTACACTGCTCTTCAAACTGTTCTTTTCGAGAATACATCACCTATCCGTCTTCCTCAGCATTTGTCTCTCACGTAGACTCCACTTGAGCCCCAGTTTCGGATGACTTTTCCGGCGCTTCGTACTTACGCGACGGCACCCGTTACTCGTGCTCCTATTTCAACTTTGAGCAAAATTTCGACAATTTCGCCTTTCTGTATTTTAAATGTTAATGTCTATCAACGGCTCTAAATCACTTACATTGAAAGCAGTCAATGGCAAATAACTGGATAGCTGTCGAAAAAATAATATTTACCAAATCCAGAGGCGAAACAGGACACCACATGACTGGATTGCCGCGATCCTATTCTTGGCTCCCAGGCAGTGCTGCGCGTTGTCATCGTCATCATACAATCTTCAAATTGCCTCGGGTGTTACCTTCTACCAATTTGATGCTGTCGCACGTCCTCCGCTGATTAATGATAGCGTCCCCATTTTCATACTCTTCGGTACACCTATTTTTCTGCGTCGTTTAACAGCCAGCCAATTCTTGCATGCAGTTTAACGTTCTTTATCTCACGATTCTGTATACCAACCTACACTTGAAACTGTCCCAATTACCATCAAGAATAGCATACTTTGTTGATCTAATTTAGGGTCAAGCTGAGAGTGATTTCCCTTCGTTTTAACTACTTTATTTACTATCAAGTAGTATGTTGAAATAGCGCTGCTCATCAAGCTTGTTTGTTACTGAGTCTGACGTTACATGACTATCTCAGTCTACGAAATAACAGATTACAGAATATGAAACCCAATTTCGTCTGGTTCCTTGGGTGCATTGGATTTCTGTCCTATTCTTAAACGAGTACTGCTTTCCTACTGTCATGTGTATAGTCGCGGCAACCTGCTCAATAGCCTAAAACCGCACGTCAAATTAGCAACGCCATGTGCACAAAGGAAACCTCAAAACATCATGGTAGGTGCCCACCTGGAACTTCGTATGAACGCAAGAGGGAAAAAGCTCTAATCTCACGTAATGCTCCGGCAGCTCCATCACCTTCTACTCGACCGATCCTCAAAAACTCTTCTCGAGGTTAAGGCGATTTAGCACGTTCTCATTTCATTTATGTAAGACTGGAAATATTAGTAGTTTGCACTATATCGGCCCCAGCCAACAACCGCCCACATCCATGTCGTTTGATTTATGATTTTTTGTTGGCTTCTATTTTAGTGCCGCTTGAGATTCCGTAGCTGTAGAACGAAGCTTGTCACAACCCAGTGTCTTGTTATCTGACCCTGTCTCAACTCCTAGAACCCCAGCGAGACTGCCTCCCGGTGCAAAACGTCCTGGTGTGATGGAGCTACCCACGCGTTCCAGTCCCAGAATTCGCGCTATGAAGCAACCCGCTTCTGACGAACCGAATATGACCAAATCTCTCCGAGATATATTCTCCGACAGTGAAGAAGAATTCGCCCAGCTGGTGTCACCGAAAGCGGCCGAACTTCGAAGACTGGAGAAGCCCAGATATGTGACTCATGTCGAAGGTCATGTGCTTAGCCCGTACAACCCGCCTTCCGAATGTCACTCCCCTTCGTCCACCCAAAATCTGACATTGCTGCTGCCAAGAAACGTCAGTCAGGATTTTGTCAGACATCACCGGAAATGTTAATGCTTGCTAAAGCAGAAGCCCACGGTCGAAGGTTTGCTGAATTGGCAAATCATCATATATATTCCAAATACCCATAGCGATCGAGTTCGCACACAGGTTCATTGTGTGTGTATTATTTCCTCTTCTCCAGTAACACAAGGTGTTTCACGACATAATTGTTTAAATTGTGATTATAATTCACTTTAATTTTGTAAATTTCTGCAAGGAAGTAAGTGAAGGTATTAAGAATAGATGTGTCAATTCCTCAGCTAAGTAATCGATTACAATAAATATTTATAATTATCTTTGGGCTCTACCCCCATTATCAAATAGTTGTTTTGCCAGATATATGGCTCGGTTTCATTAACACCATCCTTCATGGTCGCACAATATTGCTTGCAAATTAAATGCAAATTAGTAACGAAGCTTAGTAACTTATGGGACATTTAATTCCTAATTTAGGACATAACCGAGCATTAGTTACTAATTTTGCATCCAAGCTCAATAATTCCTAGACGACCAACGTGAACATCGGACGATCGACTTGTAATCAAACAATACATCAGGTAACCTTATCGCGCCAAGACCGAATTTATCGGAGAGTCGCTTTACCAACATAATGCCAGTTATCTTTGGCGGAATCCATTGACATTTAATGACCATACTTCAATATGCGAAGTTATATACCGGGAAAGCGAGTTCGTTAAATTATACGGTTTACATATCTTTAGGTCCTCAGTATTGAGACATTTTCAATTCACTTACATTTGCGTGGATTTTCTCGTATGGGGCAACTATACAAGTGGTAATAAAGCGACAGACAGGAACGCAACCGGAATCCTTTTAATATGTCATTGATTATTTTAGCATTCGTTGGTCTGGTTCTAGCTGTAATAGGAAAATTTGAAGTTCCCTTCCTTCAATATAGTAAGCTATGGTTATAGAGAGTCGGCATTCCATCATATATCACACAAGGTATATTTATAGGGAGCATAAATACCTTGCCCTTCCCGTCTCACCAAGTCCCTATAACAAAGTAAATTCGAATGTTCGGGTTGCAAATTGCGAGGATTCACCGTGCAAATTATAAAGAGGACACTGTTCCAATATATGGGTAGACATTGATCAAGGTGAGCAAACTGTGCTTTACTACATGCTGACCAAAATACCTCTTGTATACACGCTGATAATGAGGCACTTCCATTATGTCTTTCTAACAGGCTACAATATCAGTTTTGGCACCGTCTATTTAACAGCAATGGAACTTCGAACTATGAAAAGATACCTTATTTTTGATTCAGACACTTGGTGCAACGATAAAGCGTACTCTCATTGTGAATTTGTGAGACATGAAACTCATAAAACGTGGTCACATTTGATACCAGTTTTCCCTGACAGCGCTCCAGTAAGTGATAAAGTCAGTTTTCCAACAGGCAGCTGCTTGAAGTCGTTCGGATATCATGATCGAGTAACAGTGTTAGTAAGACAAACATATCATCATAGAACGGAAAAGCATAACGTGCAAGTTAGACTATTGATGTGTACAATAAACGAGTGACAACGTTTTATTGGTGGTCTGTAAATAAACAGCCCTATCCGAACCACGTCAGCACACAAAACGAGTGAACACCATTGGTTAAGTCGTATTTAAATGGAAACAACAATTTCCAACTTTCAACCAATGGTATTTACGGATACAATGTTAGAAATAAGCTAAGGACAAGTAGAAAAAATTATCTTTTGATCTTATTTACAACTGCATTGATAATGTGCGTTTTTTCAGGGAGAACAGTTATTTGAATAGAAATTTGAAAAGAATATTCAAACGCAGGTTTGCACGATATTTATGGTTATGGTTAACTAACGATTGGATAGAGTTCGCTGAACTAACACTATCTAGCGAATTCATGTATTTGGCATACGCTTTTTCATAATGCACATTAAGTTCTGCAGATTGTTTTTGTTAGCCTGCATTACGGCTGGAATCTGCGCTGTTAAAACCATATAGCTCATATAAAATTTTTGATCTAAAATACTTTAACGTCGCCCCATCCTATATGGAATCTAGCTGACTTCGTTTACCTCACCCTTGTCTAAGTTGATCTAGACTGTTCTCGAGTTTAGACATGATGTAAAATACGTAGCTGGTTATCTTAATATTAGGCAGATTTGAGTCAGTTACAATGTATCCCACAAGTGCTTTGTGGGCATTTTAAATCTGCCGAATCACTAAGATGGATGGTGAATGGGTTAAAGAATAAGGAATGCCTTCGGAAAAGCGGAGACTGCGAGAATTTTCAATGCGTTGTGAATTTCAAAATGAGGCCGAATTTAGGATCTATATCCAAAATCAACATTGAACAAGTTAGAAATCTCTTGGTTTACTTTCGGATAATAATAACGCTAATCGACATATTCTCAACAAGGTGAAATAAAAGATTTTCATATCTGATGCGATTATAAGGTGCAAATCAAATTGTAACTGCAAGTACAGGGTTTGTGTAGACAAGGAATGTAATTCCTTTGTCAGTGATTCTTTCACCATGTGTTCAGTATCAAAAAGGCTTCGGAATTGACGACACGTTGGAATATTTCAGGCTCGTTTAATCTCAATTTTGCAAGCAGGACAACCAGCAGTGTTTAGAGAGTAACAAACCGTATGCACAGTGAAAATTGTGCTTGGAAGCGCTTGTAATATACGCTAACTACGGTGTAACTTTGAACAATGTAGACGGCATTTGAACGGACAACAGAACACCACAAGTATAAACAATTAAGACGAGAACTCTCCTTGTTGTGGACTAACTGTTCAGTTAAAACGATTGATGAGCCTAACACAGGAAGCCGTATATGATAACAGAAGGAAATTGGAAGGATGTACATAATTTAATTGAACAGCGAAAAATAAAAAAGTAAACAGTAACTAAGCACAGCTTAAATTACAGTTGCTTGACAAACCCGTAGCATGCTCGTTGTGAGTACTTTAAACTCATAAGCCGTGCGAATAATCTACCCAGCGTTTACCGCGATAAATCAGTAGATAAATAACGCTACTGTAAACTGGAATTCAAATTTATGCATATAAAAATACACGAGGTGCAGACAGAAGCAATATATGGTCGATCAGCCGTGGAACGTCTTATTGGGTCATCATGAGTAACCAACAATAGCCTAGTTTAGCCAACGAATTTCCAGGAGCTAAGAGCAAATTTAATCCTTCTTTTTAAATATCCGTAGTAGGATAGGCTACAGTTGAGTTCGGGAGAGTGTACGGTGTTGGCAAACCCGAAGAGCAAAGTAACTCCGTCGACACTCTATGCGGCTGCATTTTTCGCTCAGTTGCAAAACGGTTGCCTTTCAGCTTGGTGGTGTGGGGGTTTCAGCAAACGGGGACGTACGTGGTTCTTAGCACACAATATTTGATGCAATAATACATAAGATCACCTCGCGCCAAGTGAAACGAAACAACAGTTTTTATGATTAGTACTCATTGTAAATAACAACTAGATTGCTCATCCCACAGTACAGGGTCCACGCGACGCTGGAGGTTACTTCCAGAGGCAACTTAGCTTAAATGTATCTAGAGTATGCGCCTCAAGCTCAAGTTATAAAATCCCAGCATGACAGAGTCGTCTTTCAGACATTAAGCAAGAACGGCATAGGGGCGCAACCACGCAGGCTTTTGTTACCGTTAGGTTGGCACAGATCCGTATTGTCGGGTGTTTTCCAGCAAATTGCCTTGGTTTATTTAAATCGACCGAACTAAAATGGTGTCATCAATTTGCTACTGATGTGCCTGTTCAACCAGCATGGAGTACCCGAGAAATGGATTAAAGACAACGGCAGTCAGTTAACCACCTTCGAATTCGCAGAGTACGGTGCACAAAACCGCATCACACATTCGCGTTTTCCACCGTTCCTTCTTCAGGCAAATAACCAACTAGAGCGATTTGTTGACACATCCAAGTAGGTAGGCCTAAAATTGAGTTGGTATGGCACCACCTAGGAGATCCTGGATACGTTATTGTTGATATACAGTACCACCCCAATCCCACAATCGTCGAACCAAATATGGCTCGCGCAAGCATTAATGGGCAGGTAGCTCCGGACCCCACCTGGATGGTTATGTCCAACACACAATGCCGCACAAGAGAAACGATTATAAATGAAGAGGAAGTAAAAATTGCGTATGGAACAAAACAACGTCATTCCACTTCCCTGCAAAATGCCTTGGTCATGGACTACGATGAAGAAAGGCTACAGTGTACGATGAGATTAATTAAAAATAGACGAACCAAGGTGTTGGCTGAAGTCGCAGTATGTGACCGCATCTGGACCAGGCACGAAAATCAGCTCACGCCGTCAGCCACATTTGTACATACAGATTTCGTTGCTAGATAGCAGCTACAGTCAGCTGAAGATGTATTTTCCATGGATAACATAGGTACTGTGTCTAACAATCATTCAAGTTGTTCAGAGCCTTAATTACCTACGGCTGACATACACACTGTTAGTTATTGCACGCTATGGAACAACACGTGTTGACATGGAACTTAATTCAGCCACTCCTATCACCATAGTACCGAGTAGTTTTTATGATATCACCTACATAACATGATTAAACATCCATCAGTCTATCGAGATAAAAGTTATACAAAGGCCCCGGTAGAAATAAGAGCATGTGTGGTGATTGTTTTACAAATTGTGGTCGTGCAATCATCATTTTCTCTGTACCTCACCCGCGGGACTAAACATCCATTACTCGGCGGCAATGCTCTGGTTGCACTTGGAGTCACGCCGTCCCCACTTGTATGCGTATCATGGCGGCTAAGTTATCAGACCTACAGATACAGTACCGAAACTGTTTGAACAAACAATAGGGCACGTTCCCTCCTCCGTTCACCGCATATGTCTAAAGCAGGATGCTACACCCGTAGCCGTTTCTCAGCCACGTCCAATTACTTTGTCCAGAAGGGAGGCTAATTGGTCAGCATTACGAAAAAATTTACATATGATCGTAT